TGTGTACCCAAGCTGCAACTTCATTTGAATATTATTTCCTATGATTTACCAGCTGCTACCTAGAGGCTACGCGGGTTAAAAATTCGCTCCGCTATGTACGTTGTATTAAGAGAAAGAGAAAGAGACTAGTGGTCTTAGATCAGTAAAGGTATTGCTCGCCGGCCCTCTGAAGTCTAAACGATACGCCCACCGAGATAGCGAGAGATTGCGGGTTCGATTCCCACCAGAAACCTCTATTTTCATACAACTATAACAAAGAATAACTTGGAAGGTTATCTATCGATAGCTATGTTTTAATTTCTTTTTAGTTTTATCTAATTTAAATGTATACTCACTTATTAACACGTCATCAGTTAAACTGACGTGTTGTTATCGTCATTACGTCATCGCAGGTGTAGTGCGATGACGTGCGACCCCGCCTTGCTTATGGTTGGATCATCGGGGTCCCCTGCCTCCTCCGTGTTGCTTTAAAAGTTTATCATATGTTACTGAATATATAATATATGAAAACATATATGATGCATTAACAAGTGTTTACCTTCATCATGGAATCCTGTATACGAAAAGAAATAAATAAATTCTACACATTGTCAGTTGAATGGGAGGGAAGCCCATGGAAGCCCGAGATTTCAGCCTAAAATAAAAATTAACGTAAATTTTGTTTTATTCAGTAAGGTTTTATTGATCGTGTTGTAATAATCTAATATCAGTAAAGTTGGAACCTGAGCTCTGAGTTCCCAGGCCAAAATGACCATCTCTTTTTCTTGGGACAATGTAGTACTACTATTATTATCAATCAATATGCTTTATTTATAGGGTTTATATCTCTGCACATTCGATCAATGGGAAACTGGACCAAGAAACTATATGATTATTTTGAGGTGGAACAATCTAGCAAAACACAAGATTGTACCACTGACATAGGGCTACGCCTCAATGATTGCCAGGATTACCCAACACATGTTCTCCAATTGACTGATGTTGAAAATAACTTAACAACGCTTGCGGAAGAAGCATCCAATTGCAGTTCTCGATCTACAATTGAAGGATCGCGTTCCTCTCTAATTACTAAAGATGTCGAAGCGTGTAATTATGCAGTTGATAGACCTACCACAAAACGGGATAGAGTTTTGTCAAATAATCAAGTTAACGCGACTACTGCTCACAATTCACAATTGCGAATTTCAAAAACAAGTGTTCATAAAACTAAAAGCAAAACAGAAAGGAACGTAGACCAAAAATCTGTGGAACAATTAGGTCTAAACACATTGAATTTGTTTTCTCGATCACCTCAACGGAAAAACGCTCTAGCCGGCATCGTACCACGTGATGAAAACGAGTCAATTATAAAAAATAAATTAAAAGAGAAAACTAAATTGAGCAAAGTTCATCCGGCTTGTACAACATTATCTGATCAAATAGTAAACCAGAATTCGGATCTCAATAAAAATAATGTATCTGAAATTCTGAAAAACGATGGGTGCAAAGAAATCAATGAAACGAATCAGAAATTCTCCAAGGCAAAAACACCAAAAAAGTTACAAAGGAGACGCGTGACGCAACATTCGTTGGACGTCGTATTGGATGGGGTATCTTCAAGTGGCACAGATATCGAGGTGGGTCTTTACAGGTGTATGCTTAGCTATGTTATGATAGGACTACTAATATCCATCAAATCCAAGATTATTTACCCTTACATTTTGTTTTTATCCATTTCAAGGTTTACATAGACGGTCCATACGGAGCCCCATCTCAGCATATATTTCAAGCAGAGCACGCCGTGTTGATTGGTGCCGGTATTGGTGTGACACCATTCGCATCCATTCTACAAAGCATACATGAACGCTACAAAGTGGCTAAACGAATATGTCCAAATTGTAAATACGCCTGGATGGA